ACACCGGGACAGTGTGGGGACAACGCAGGGACAGTGCGGGGACAGTGTGGGGACAACGCAGGGACAGTGCGGGGACAGTGCGGGCTGTCCAGCGGCGCTGCCGGGCTGGGCACGGGCAAACGGGGCTCTGCACACATCGATCCCGCCTCATGCCGACCCCCAACTGTTTGGGACAGCCCGAAGAGGACAGGCAGGCGCTGGTCCCCGAGTCCCCAGCACGACGCTGTCTGTCCCTGCAGGACGCCCATGGGTTCTCCCACAGCCACTCCGCAGCTGCTGTACCGCAGCACTCGCCTGCTGCGCACGGCCTTCCAGCACCTCCACCAGCAGCAGCAGCGAGCCGACGTCTTCTGCGATGTGGTCCTGTGGGCTGAAGGTGAGCGGGCAGCATTGCCGAGGGATGGGCCAGCGCACTTGGGGAGCTGCGGGGAGGATCTCTGCAAAGTCCTAGGAAGGACTGGGGTGAGCAAGAGGGGCTGCAGGGCAGTGACAGCCACTGTTGCTTTGCAGGTGAGGCAGTGGTGGCCCACTGCAGTGTTCTCTCCGTCTGCAGCCCCTTCTTCATGGAGCAGCTAGGCCGGGAGCTGCCCCCCCAGGGTTGCAGGGTGGTGCTGGAGCTGGCGGGGCTGAAGATTGGGGTGCTGCGCAAGCTGGTGCGCTTCTTCTACACTGCTGAGCTGGAGGTCACGCAAGAGGAGGTACACGAGGTGCTGGCAGCCGCCCGCCGCCTCCGTGTCACCGAGCTCGAGTCGCTGCAGCTCTGGGGAGGACGCCTGGTGAGACTGGGACCCCAGCGACAGCTCGACCGCTCCTGCCTGCATTCCAGTCAGGAAGCCTCCACCATGGTGGCACCTGACACAGCTGAGCCTGGAAGTGCCAGCTCTCAGGTGCCTCCCCAGAGGCAGCCACACTCTCTGGGGCACACACAGCCCAGCCCCATCGGACGGATGAGGCTGCGGAAGGTGGAGAGCTGGGGGTGCTGGGAGGTGGTGCAGGAGGTGCAGCCTCCCCCAGTGCCTCCAGCAGTGCTGCTGGGTGATGTGGGGGTGACAGAAGTACAGGCCCCCCAGAATGTGGATACACAGGAGCAGGCGAGTGAGTGCTGTCCACCCCAGCAGCCCCCCAGTGATGGCATGCAGCAGCATGGAGACTCCCCTGTGTCCCAACAGGGCTGCCAGCAGGCAGTACCCTCAGGGACCCCTGGAGGTGACACTGAGGAGGAGGTGGATGTGGGGACAGGGGAGCTGTTCCTGCCCCCTGGCACAGTCTGCCTCTGGCCCTGTCCCTCGTCTGAGTCAGAAGAGGAGGTGGATGTCCTCACCTAGGGGGTCTGGCTCTCCCTCTCACCCCATTGCCTGCACCCCTTGGGCTGTGTATCCTTGGAATAAAGGGCTGGAGCTGTGCTGTGGAGTACTAAACTTTATTGGAGATTGGGGGAACAGCGGGGTGTGGAGGGAGCCAGGGGTCTGGCAGTGACAGAGCTGCAGCATCAGGAACGGGACTGGGGGCAGGTGCCCCCCACTTGGTCCCGCCTCTTCATGGACGCTCGTGCCACATGCGCTGGTCCTGGCTTGGCTGTGAAAAGAGGGAAGTTGGTCCCTGTTGGTCCCATCCCTGTCCCATCCCAGTCCCATCCCCGCTCACCTGGCCAATGCCTCTACGCCAAGCTGCTTTTCAAGGCTTCCACTACGGTCTCCGGCTGAGGGAACTTCAGCTTGCGGGGAGGCCCCTTCCCGATACCGCTCCACAGCTCCATGGCTGCAGAGATAAGGGGGATTACGGGATCAGGGGTGCCGGGGAGGCCACGCCGCCCCCCAGCCCAGCACTTACTGCTGCCGTCCTCCTTCACCAGGGACACCTCGAAGCTGTTCCTGCGCGGCGGCCGGGGGTTGATGTCCACGGGGAGGTGGGCCATGGCCCCGCGCAGGGCCGCGCTCACCGCCGCCGCGTTGCGCCCGAACACGCGTCAGCTCTTGCTGTGAGGACAAGGCGGTCAGCGACCCGGGGGACACCGGCGACCTCACACCGCCCCCGGCACCTCGGCTGCTCACCAGTGCTCGATGATGACACGGGGGCCGATGTCCCCGGGGCTGCCCTCGTCTTTGGCCTGGGCCCGCGCCCGCTTCTGCGGGGCTTCCGCTGTCTCCGGTG